GTCGTTGTCCTCTTGTGCAGGTACGCGTCATCTTCTTGCGCAGCTATGGCAGACTTCTTCAAAGGTGGCGCACTTCAGCTATGGTGCCCATGCGTCTCTCTCCTGCTACAATGGCGATGCGCATGGAGTAGCGGGTACCAGCTCCGATACCAGTGCAATCAGACTCGCATACTTCGTCACTTCGCATGCATACAAACAGATGGTGAATCACACTGGCGCCTAGCGCCCAACTCAAAGCTCGAAGATATGGAAACCAGGACACAGTTCAGATGCAGGCTCGCTTCAACAGGCTATGGTGCATCAGCACCCACACATCGCAACTCTCGTCACTGTGTCCAACACCACTGTTCACTTCACACTACAACTCCGGATCACCCTGGATACCCCACGCACACACTCTGCACACACGAATGCACACCTACTACTATATGGCAGCTATGGCCGCCAGCTAACTCTACTCTACAAGCGGCTATGGCTGCGTTAACTCCCTCTAGCCCACTTCGACTTCAGGCTCCTCTGCAGACTACCTCGCACAAGTCACCGTGGCAGCGCTTCCGCATGGCTTCCGCAGGAATGAATGAATGGCTGTGCGCTGCCTCTTGATTTATACTTCTGTAACTCGTTGGTCTGCCCCTTTCCATCGGCCCATGGTACACAGAGTCCCCCATGGTACTTGCTGGACTGGACTGGGACTGACTGGACTGTACCGCTGACTGCATGGGGACACACTGCTAACCTACCGCTATCGTACTGCGAACGTACTGCAGTTGGTCCACCACTTTCCCACTTGCCCACTTGCCCATTTGCCTCAGTCTAAAACGTGAGCAAGCTGCGAAAGGCCACTTCCGGACCTTCCGGAAGTCCGTGGACTTGGGACTGTGGCAGCTACGACCTTGACCACTCAGGACTGTAGCAGCTACGACTTTGACCCTTCAGGACATCTACAGCTACGACTGCTGGAACTCTCTAAGAACTCTACTTGACAGGTCTACAGATCGAATCCCTATGTCCACAGAGTCCTACGACAGACAAACAACAACTCACGAAACACAGGTCACAGGTTCAAACACTGAAGGGTCATCTCGATACTCTACATGGGTGGGGTAAGGTCTGGGGATCAAACCCCGGGATCTGCATCTGCCTCTGCAAAGGTGAAAACCGTTTCAACACAATCTGCACTCATGCACTCTGGGTGCATACCGCACTGTAGTGCACAGACCAATTTAAAATAAATAAATAATTAATTGGTGGCTATTTCGGAGTAGATACATTTAGGATCAACAGGTAAGTTCAGATTCCTACAAACGAAACTATTTTAGCCTGATTAGTCCACGAACAGGATGCACAATGAACAGTTACAGTTCTAATTATGCTGTCTGTCAGATGTCAAATGGCTGTACACCTAACTAGTCAAAACATAAAAATAGAATCATTTGTGTGGATAGGACAGTATGGAATTTTTGTCAAACTTATCACCTGAAATCTACCCCTCCCTAAGTTCCCCTGAATGTCACTTGACGTCAGCGTCCCTTAGCAATCCAGAGAGTGTTGCGTGTCTAAACGGTGTGTGTTTGGCCCACCTCTGTGCCCCGAGTGTCTTCTGAGCTGGCCAGCCCTGCACTGGATTATCCTTGCGTGCAGCGAGCCTTACAACTGTTACATGCTGCGCCTGCAACAGGCTGCAAGGGCCATTTTCAGGCCCGTGTCATTTTCGGCCTGAAAGCCTGAAAACGAAGGCTTACAGGCCCCGTGTCAGTTTCAGCCTGAAAGCCTGAAAACCAGGGCCTACAGGCCCCGTGTCTGTTTCAGCCTGACAGCCTGAAAACCAGGGCCTACAGGCCCCGTGTCTGTTTCAGCCTGACAGCCTGAAAACCAGGGCCTACAGGCCCCGTGTCTGTTTCAGCCTGACAGCCTGAAAACCAGGGCCTACAGGCCCCGTGTCGTTTCAGCCTGACAGCCTGAAAACAAGGGCCTATAGGCCCTCAGGGTTTAGCCAGAAGCTACCTGGAAACTTCCCGGAAGCTTCCTCAGGCTTTAGCCAGAAGCTACCTGGAAACTTCCGGAAGTTTCCTGGAGGCCTGACAGCCTGAAAACCTGGGCCTACAGGCCCCGTGTCGTTTCAGCCTGACAGCCTGAAAACAAGGGCCTATAGGCCCTCAGGCTTTAGCCAGAAGCTACCTGGAAACTTCCCGGAAGCTTCCTGGAAACTTCCAGAAACTTCCAGAAGCACGTTTGGGCATTGGCAAGGGCAGCCTCCTGGACGGGCCAGCACTATATAAGACTGGCCCGCCCTACAGGCAGGCAGGTAGTTGATAGGGACTGACCAGGCACTTCACGTGCAGTCCAGGCAGGCAGGAGGCAGTTGTAGTCTTCAGGATTCGGGAGCAGCACTCTGGAGGGAGCGCTGCAGGGAGTAGTAGTAGTGTTAGCCTTAGTCTTCAGCACTGGGCGCACTAGGTAGCTGTAGTCTCCAGCGCTGGGCACCATAGCTAGGATAGTACTAGAGAGAGAGAGAGATTGGGCGGAGGCCAGAGGTACTTACCTGCAGCGCCGTTGCTCCAGCTTCGTCTTCAAGGTACCTGCAGCACAGCGCCAACTTCACATGTTAGTACCTGCCTCGTGACAGAGAGAGAGAGTTCTCCTTCTTCCTCTTCTCAGTCCACCATCTCCCTCTCACCCTCTCATCATCGGACTTCACTGCATCAGCAGACTACGAGAGAAGAGAGAGAGAGCTTGGTGACATTGGATCCAGACTCGACTTTGGACTTCAGACATTGCAACGAGGGATTATTTGGGACTCGTGACAAAGACTTGGTGTTGATGACATCCCCATCTTTCCCTCTCATCTTCGTCTGATCCCCTCCTCTTCGTCTGTGTATGTCTGGACCTGGCGCTTCCCTTCCTGTGTACAACGCCAGGCTCCTTCACACTGTGTGATGAGCAAGATGTATGTTTGGTCTACGATGAAACATCAGAATTCTAGCATTCTGTTCGCTATCTTGTACTACGTGATAAAGGTCAGTCTTGGTCAGGTCAGGTCTTGTATCTAGATCTTCCCTGCGCTATTCAAACACCATTTTGTATGTATCGGAATGCACATTGCTAGTTGAGATTCTACTTGCACAGCATTGTCCATTCAATCCTTTTTATCACATTGCGGATCCCCGGTTATTATGTACATCGCCCCTCTGGGCATGTAACACAACCATCGGCTGATCCAGAGGCAATTTAACGACCGCCCCCGAGTGTCTCCAAGAATTATTTTACGTCGCAGCCGGACGACGATCACAGCCAACGGTTTCCCCTTCCGGTAGTTATTTAAAGGCGTCCGGTCTCGTCTCCCACTTAGGGCTGGCCGGCCCTTCATCACCCATCTAACAATGCAGCAAGCCGAACAAAGGACAAGCAGCAAAGCATGTGTGCTCTATTCCAGGTGGGTTGGCATGGTGACGTGACCAAGTGCTTCGTCCAGGGCCCTTCAGAAAGCTCCGCCCATCTTCTCCCAGATGCTCCACGTGAACATTGCGGACTCTCAAGGTTGAGTGCACTCGACACCTCACAATGAGAGGACTCTCAAGAAGGAACACACAACCTCACGGTAAGACGTGTCGAAGAGTGTAGATAAGGTTAAGAGCAACGTACCTCAAATAGCTGCCCTCAACCACAGAGATAATCTCACCAGATGACCTGATACCGATTGTGATGACAAATCATTGCTTCGACACAACCAGCATTACACGCCGTTCCACCTCAGCACCAATCGCACATTAGATAGTTCTCATAACACTGTCCAACACCCACATTACACACCGTAGCCTTCCTGGCCATCCCCTCACCTCCTGGGTCGCCACTACTCGTCTCCGCCCTCCTCACTACACACCACTTTCGACCAAACTCACCAAGCAGACCGCATGTATGTACCGCATTAGGGAGAAGACAAGCGCCAAATGGGCGCAGTCGTACCACAGCTCCGATACGAAATTGCAAGGAAGATGAGCAATAGGAAACTTCAACGATCAAACAACATCCTATACACAAGACCAGATAGTCGTGACCTCGAACCAACAGCAAAATTGCATCACGAGTTTCACCAAATGAGAAGACCCCAAGAGCTCATAATTGACAATGCTGGTAAAGTTTCATCATCATCATCAATGAAGAACCAATGTTGATATCCTATCTGGCGCTCGGCGCCCAGACTGGCAGATCCTATCTAGCCTAGACTACAATGCCGAATGAAGACGACAACTACTTTCCCGAAGTACGAGCATACAGCGACCAATGTCGCATGCTTCCAGCACCAGGTATGTCTCTCGCCTCACTCACAACCTCGTTCCCCATGACACAGATGCCACTTGCACCCAAGGACCACCCTGCGCCACACCCAGCTTACAGCAGCGCAACTCGGCTATGGTTGCCTGCTCCTTCTTGCTCGCCCGTGAGCGCGTGAGTGCCAGCGAGCTTCAGCGCAGCAGCGCTTGCGCAGC